ATATATATAGGACCCGTATACTCAAACTCAAATTATTAATTTTACTATAGTGTTTTTCTCATAAAAATTTTGAATTTCAAACGTTAGAATCAATAATCACGATTTAAGTATACCTTCTAAACGTGTTTATATATATATTCATTTCACAAGTTTAAGATTGATTTTATTTAACATTTTCGTTTAGTAATGTTTTAATTGTATTTAATAAAGATTGGGAATGGTAATCTTAGTATTTTATAAAGTTTAGTTGCTTTAGAGGGTGTATTGGGATAAAAGGAATGAAAGTGGTATTTTGATAAAACACAAGTGGTGTCTTTGATATTTTCCCATACCAAATTAATGAGATTCAAGGCACACTTACCTGCTTAAAATTTTTAAAATGGTGTTAAGAAACAATGCAATTATACCAGAGTGGCAATTGATATGATCTCAACTTTCATTTTTTATTATAGTATTTATTATATTGCTCTCATTATATTGCTCTTCATATTCTATGGTCGATTGTATTTGTGGAAAGAAAAAGCACTAAAAGTAGCCTACTTGTGTTTATATTCACAGCAAAAACGAGTGAATGGCTGAAATTGAAAACCACCACATGATCAGTAACATTTCTTCTGACCGTTAAAAATATGTAAAAATTGCTTAAATTGCTAAACTTACCCTTAAAGTGCGTAGGTTTTGAACCTAACGTAAAATCATAAGATTAGAACCATTTTTTATTTACGTGTATTTTACGTGTATTTTTTGTGAGAAAAAATACTGTAATTCATAAGATTAGAACCATTTTTTATTTACGTGTATTTTTTGTGAGAAAAAATACTGTAACGAACTATAAATCATGATTCAAATCATGATATGAATCCCCTTATTAAAGGTCTCTAAATGTTTTATTCTTTTATTTAATTAATATCCTTTTTAACTAATATACTCTTTTCATTTAATTAATACCCCTTTTGACTAGTATATCCTTTCCATTTAATTAATACTTAGTTATTTAACTAAAAAAAGATATTAATCATGATCAATAACTTATTCCGACCATTAAATATAATGCAGCCAATCCTACTCGGAACGCAATAAATTTTTTGCTAAAGAAACTATCACTCAATTAGTAGAATGAAAAAGATCCCGGATTTACATTCTCTACCTGGTGGATTTTTTTTTTTTCTTTCTTTTTTCCCTCTCTGGGAAGAGCAAGGAAAGGAGGAAAAATAAGAGTTGAAAAAAAAAAAAAAAAAAAAAAAGGGAACCCCTAGAAATTTGAGTCATCCTCCACGAATTTGACCAAAAATCTCAAGATTGAAGCCTTGGGATCATCTCTACTTTCTGTGTCTTTGATTTCAAAAATGCCCTTCATAATTCGGGTGTAAAGCCTCTCAAGCTGTGGAATGTTAAAGTTTTCTGATCGGTCCACAAAACGCAGCTTGACAGACTCCACTTGATTTATAGTTTCGCTATCTGGCGTTGTAACATCGCAGTCTCCACTTCCATCGCTGTGATCAGGAACTTCAACTTCCGGAGCTGACGCTTCTTGCTCGTTGAAATCAGCAGCAGATGTTCCAGGCCTCTCGGGATTTGCTTCATTCGCTTCTGAATCCTCAGATGGCTTTGACGGGTCGTGTAGCCGCGACTTCTCTTCTGAAGCTGAAATTAATATCATCAGTAAATTTAACGTCACATACAGAGTACTCCAAAAATTCGATAATTACTATCAAATAGTGAACAGAGGATAAGAGATCAACCCGTTCACCAACTAAAATTAGGCTTTCCATGGTGTCTTACAAATTTAGACCAAGAAAGTGATGAAACAGAAGAAAAAGGATTTCTCAAGCATCAATTTTCATGGAGGAAAAATACGGTTTTTCTCCACAAATTTCACATAAAATAATTATTTGATGAAACTAGTAAATATATAACGATGTGTACCAACAAAATATCACTTGACACAGCGAAAAAATCACAACTTAATCTCCCCCTCTATGCGTGTAAATTTTTATGCACATGAATCCACTTGTGTGCTTGCTTGTTTACATATGTATAAACACGTGCGTATATTTATCCTACATTTAGAGTTCATGTTAAAGAATAGTACACCAAACAAACAGCAGCAGCAGTAAAGCAAGCGTGATAACTTCTAAAAATGTGGAACAACAAAGAAATAAACTAAAACGTAGATACCAGCATGTGCAGCATCAACATTCTTTTTCGGCCGTTTCAGTGCCCCATAACTTTGATCCGGATTTACCTCCGGCTGGACATTTCTAAGTCGAGCACTTACTCTAGTGACCGTTCCTAGCTGCATGACAGGGGTCAATGGGAAAGTAGATCCCCCTAATTCTTCTGGCATGTGCATAGGACCACCTTGGGTCACTATCTTATCGCAGTATGCAACCAGAGCAGGATCCATCTGTGATAGCATCCCATGTACCTAAGGAATAAAAGCATTTTCACAATATACAATGGGCCAAAGCACCAGAAAATAACTGAAGCAAGAAAGAAGAATTAAAAAACTTACTGCATCTCGCAGCTCATAAGCCCTACTAACGATCCTAGCACCATTGTAGTCATCTCCGTTATAAATCTGAAGTTCAGACAGAAAAACCGATAACATTGCTGCATGAAAACTCACAAAAGAAACTGTTTATGTAAGATCCCAATTTCTTGAGCTTGTTTCGCTCCGCTTTTCATCGATATAGTGACTGTTATAATGGAAAAGCTTTCGATCTTGAGGATGCTTTTAAGCAGCCACTAGTGAGAAGAAAGGAATAAGAGATGACAAAATTGTGATTTGTAATGTGAAGCAATAATATCAGCAGCACTCTAATCTACTATGTTAAAAGTGAGTCTCTGTTTGCTTAAGTTACGATTTCAATTTTCTACTGATCCACACAAGTTTCATAACCATGTCTCCGATAGACAATATCAATGACGGTCTTATTTGAAAATACAGCTATTTTACATTTCCTTGCATGAAAAGCTACGACAAGGAAAACGAACCTTCGCATTGGATACAATGAGCTCGAAATCTTGCA